GGAATCTTCTAAAAAAAAGATAAAAAAAGCACATACAAGGACATGTCGACAAAGGACCTTACGTTCATAATTAATAGGAAGTTTAAGTGACCCGAGGGGTGGTCTTTTCAAAACGTTGGCCAATCGTTGCTCAACAGCGTCCCCTCGCGGCACAAGGGACACCTGCAGTTACAGTCTCCAACTCCTCGCTCAACTGTCGTGTTACTGTCATATGGTGCCAACGTTGTCATCAACATTAAACGCCCCGCTTTGAAAATAGATCAGATGTTGGTAGCCACTTACCCTTATGCCTTGTCAGCTACATACTTTTAGTGTCATGATATCCATCGGCCAATAATAGTGATAATACCGCTGCAACAGGACATAGGTCTCCTCTGGCGGAATCCGTCACACAAACGTCGGTCTGAAAAGTCTTATCGACTCTCAACTACAGAACGTGAGCCTGGATGAGCGTCATTTCTGTGACGTTTCGACTTGGCCTGATTCAACTTGAACTTCAGAACATAGTAAACCGAGCATTCCATGATCATATGCATATTAATACTGACACCTAGCAACAACACTGATTGAAAGGCGTGTCGACTTTCCTACCTGGTACATGGTGATGTTAGAATTATTTTTTGAGGCTTGCAAACGGACTCATTTTTATAAATGTGCAGCCTGATTGTACCTATGCCACATCTACAGAATGTATCGATTGAGCCCGCTTTCTTTCTCGGCTTTACTCTGACTTCGGTAACATAGAGCGTTAAATTTACTGATAGATAGGTAATGTGTATAAGTATTTAGGTGTATATGTTGATAATCACTTGAACTGGAGCTGTCATGTAAAAGACGTCCTGTGTAAATTAAGAAGATCACTGAGCATCATGAGACACGTCAGCCCCTTCGTGTTATCGGGACCCCTGGCCTCTCCCACCTTGAGCACTTGAAAAGCGGCTATGGCCGAAGTGTAATCCTTCAAGGCTAAATAAAGGTCGAAGAAAAAAAAAAGATTCATCAGTCAACCCCTAAAGTTTCCGCCTGCCGATTCGTTTATATCTAACAAGTCAGCTCAAGCTACAGATTCTGGCCACTTCCAGGGTATGAAAATAGCTGTTCCATCACCCACCTGTGATGACCGGGCTTGAAGGAGGCACCCGGGCGCACACCGCTGGACGTCACAGTCCCTGACGCCATCTCCTGGGCAGACAAACTCCACTCATGTCCAGGCTTCTGTTGTCCCCGTCTTTTTAACACCATGGCAATATTGCGCCGGCAATTACCACTACATGTATTACTACTTACATAGCCAAATCCGATTCTTTCTGACACTGCTGTAGACTTGTGGCCATCATTGCCTCGGCACGAAACCGAGTGAATATGATATCCTGATGTGATTTATCCACACCTTTGCTTGCTTTGATTAGATACCCGCACTAATGACACGACTGTGACGGAAGTCACGCTGCCAACGGCCTGCACTGGAGATGCTTATGCAAGAAGTATGTGCGGTCTGCCTCATACGAAAAATGTGTCACCTGTTTTCAGACTAAAACAATGAGTACTAACAGTAATTTTCTGGCGACAAAAGGACGCGTGCCTGAAATGATACTGTTACCTTCGCTGAGAAGGTATGTTTTGCTGTCTATATGTCTCTATGTACGTTTGTGAATGATCAAGATGTATAGGATATATTGATAACAGCTGAAGACCGAAGTTAAGACGACGTGAAGTTCCGAAGTTCTCGGACGTTGATTTGTGCCAATAACAGTGTGTAATTGTAGACTACACTTTATATTCATACTGAAATATCACATATAGTCATAATCATATCTAATGACAAATACCGTAAACCTGCCCCAAAAAGAACCAGGGTTAGGCATGACTTCAAATTTCGGCTGATCACTGCACAAAGATTGTTTCAGATCTTATTGTTTTGCAATGGATGGGCTGAGTTGTACAGCCGCCGACAGTAGAGGCGTTTATGGCCGGGCAGCCGTCCTTCCGTAAACCGTGTAACGCCCCCCCCCCCGTAATAGCCCAGTAAAGGGTTGTAGGAGGGTTTTCAAGAAGATAGTGGAAAAAGCATCTGTCTGTGACATCAATATTTGTCTTGATTCACAAACTGGAAATACTGGAAGTTGGTTGTTAATGACAGTTACTGAGCTTAAGTCCTGCATAAAAGGCTGTTTATTACATCACATAAACCCAATTGGCAGCTTCGTGTCTTTGATAATGTCTCACCAGACAGGGTTAGGAGGCAATAGACACACACAAAGGCGCCCTGGCGGACGTCAGTCCTTGTTCGGGCCATATAGGATTCAACTTTCCCCTGATTCAAGAATAGTGTCTGAAACATTGCCAGATGGAGTTGGGTAGAACTATTCCACATACTGTTGCTGTTGGTTAGAAGAGGACAGATCGAAGGGAAGCTCACACATAAGCTACCCGATGTAATCACCCAGGTCTTGTGGAACTAAACGATCTCCTGATTTAGTTATCCACCTGACCTAGTCAG